TAAATATATATTTTTATAAATTAAATATCAAATTTTAAAATAAGATAAGGGATACTAATATTTAAAACCATCATATTTCTATAAATTGAAAGTATAAAATGATCATTTTTAGTCCCTCAACTTCTGATATATGCATATTTTTTGTCCATCCACTTTAAATTAAGGGACTAAAAATTTGTATATTTAAAAAAATTTAACAAAATAATTGATAAAAGGAATAAAAAAATATGAAGAATGGACTAAAAAAGTACATAAAAATTTAAAGGATAAAAATTATGTAAAACATTAAATTTGAAGACCAAAATGGAATTTACTTTTTTAAAATTTAAATTGAGTTGTACGGACCATTTTGTGCACAGGCGGAAATTGTAATTGCAAGAAGCCCCTAGCCCAAAATGACGTTTTGGGCAGGGAATCCTTTTTTTTTTTTTTTTTTATTTGCTAGTGTGTATCGGCTGAAATTTCGGTGAACTGGCCAGTACACCGAATTTTCAACCGATACACCAAATTTTGACTGAATCAACCAGATTTTGGCTGAAACGAATTTTCATCTTATATCATTTCAGTCAATACAAAAAACCGATACGTACCGACCATACCGTCCAGTACAGTATGAAATTTACTTCTCTGAGATGGAGAAAACAAGATCACCCTATGCATTTATGCCTCCATAAGAATTGGCTTTAATTTTAGGCGTATTATAATTGCATAAGCTGATGCAGGAGCATAAAGTGTTTTTTTTTAATTATTTGTTTTAGTTTGAATTTTATTTGGATTCTTAAGTTTTAATTTTAGGAAAGTCATATGGATGTCATGTGACTTTTTAATTAGGATTAGAATTAGTAACTTATTAGAAAGTTCAAATTGGAATTGAATTAGGATTCTTGGCTATTGTTACTATAAATAGTTATTCTTCTTAGACTTCAAAACCAGTTTTGTTATGATATTTTAGTTTGAGAATAAACTTGAGGTTGCAAACCTAAGTTTTATTGGTTTCATCTTTAATTTTACGAAGTTCTTAGTTTCTGTTTGTTCTACCCTTACCTTCCCTGCATCATAAGTAATCTTTGTGTCCTTTTAGCTGCAATGTTATTTCACTAGTTGACATTAGTAAGCTACATTTCCAGCATTAGTTGAGTGTGTCTGATGGTTATGTGATTTGTATCTTGCAGCCAGCTGATATTTACCTAATAGATGAACCAAGTGCTTATCTTGATTCTGAGCAACGCATTGTTGCTTCTAAAGTCATAAAGAGGTTTATCCTCCATGCGAAGAAAACGGCATTTGTTGTTGAGCATGACTTTATTATGGCAACTTATCTGGCAGATAGAGTTATTGTGTATGAGGGAGAGCCTTCAGTCGATTGTGCTGCAAATTCTCCTCAATCATTGTTGACTGGAATGAATCTGTTCTTATCTGTAAGTCATGCAACTGTTTTCTATGTTACTTCTTATTGTCTATGAGGGAGATAATTTGGGAAAATGATATTTAGTAACTGGAATGTTTAAAGCTAGTTCTTCTACAT